CAGGAATAACTTCAACCATCGGTACCTCCTTAAAATCCCTTTAATCAGAGAAATGGCAGCCCTGAAGCTCTGCTCAGCTCCCACGGGGGAAACTGAGGCAGGGAATGGGGAAACTGAGGCACAAGGAGAGGGAAAAATGAGCCACAACTCTGCCCAAGAGCTCTGAAAGACCATCCTCTCTCCTTCTCTCCCAACCACATGGCTCCTTCGGGGAACAAATTATCCAGCTCTTTTTCTTAAACCACATATCCCTGACTCACCTTTTCCCAAGCGACTGAGCCCGGAGTCAGCCCCGTGCCAAGCCCCAGGCAGCAGGGAAGGGAGTGAGCCAGGGTGAGAGAGGGTAACAGGGCATCGCTCAGCTGCTCCTCAGGCAAGGGAAGCTGTGACTCATCTACCTCACACTTGCTCTTGGAGCTCTTTCCTTTTCCTGGTGATGCTAAAATAAATTATATTTTTAAAGGCTTCATGACGAGTGCTGCCAGTTCACCTCAGAGGCATCACAGGAAGGGGATGCCCATGTACCCGACCCTTTTTTTACAGTATGAAGTCCTGTGGTGGGTCTTTTGCCTTTTCGTAACTCAGTTTCCCCATCCCTGTAGAATGAGCCCCAGCCAAAGGATGGGCTCTGTCCCAGACCTGAGCTTTTATCCTAAGTTGGGATATAATGAACCCCACAAGTACATCCCTTGGAAGAGGGACACCCTTATGCACGGCAAACCAGGGTATTACTGTTAATATTTACTATTGTGCTGCCAAAACACTGCTTCTTTATAACACCCAGATTCCAGCCACCAAATTATCACCCTGAGACAGCTGGAGGTGTAAAGAAAACATCCGCTGGCCCAGGGAGATGTTCCCCCCCAACAGCCTGGATCGGTCCCAACTTTTGTGGGTGCCCTGGGTTGAGCTGCGCTTTGCTCCTCTCTCCTACCCGGGGTTTGTGCAGTCAAAGAGCCCGGCTCTAGACTATTTTTAGTCTTCTCTTAACTCTTCGGTGCACAGCAGAAGCTCCCCGCTTGAAAGGCAGGACCCTGAAGGGCATGGGGAACCAGGGGCGGTGGGGGGCCACGGAATGCAAAGGCAGGGTGCAACTCCCAAAACTCAGGAGGGGATTTGCGGGGCGAATACTCGGCAGTGGAGAGGAAGGGATGGCTTATAACTTCGCTCATCCAGAGGGAAAGGGGAACAATCGCTTCCTCTCGGAGCTCGGGGCTTTTGTCCCACGCGTGGGGTGGATTTTAGCTCCATCTGGGGGTGCTGCATGGGTAACGTTTTTGGGTCACCGCCTGCCCCCCAAAACAATCCGAAAGCCCCCTGCAGCAAGAGAA